AGAGGGGGGGGAGAGGCAGACCAGCAATGAGCAATACAAATCATGAGATCGGACTATTTTTTAAAAATTAACTAATAAACTGAAGCCCAAATGTGATTGCTGAACCATATGAAATGACTGCTCACTATTAAAAGACAAAGCCGGAATATCTATCTTAGTCTTTGTTTGGACTTTGACATGGGGAGACCGAAAGACCTATTTGAAAGGTATTCTCAACACAGAAAGAGTACAATTTAAGCAAATGCGATATACCAAACTGAAAGACGCACACTTGGGTTTATTATCTGAAACAGGGTGACCAGAAGATCAAAGTTTGCCGGATGTTGATATCTATGACCGCGCTCATCCATTGTAAATTGCTCTAGAAGAGCCCATGCCAGTTGCATCATCGCCTGTCTCACCCCGTACGGACAAACACTTTCCATTATTTCCTACCTTCTGCTAACTTATTCATATTTTTCAAATGTCTTTCCACTTTTTTGTTCATTATTCTCTGCGACTTTTCTACAGATTCCACATGGCCTTCCCTTGATCGTTTAATCTGTGGACTCCAAGTTTAAACTTTCTTTGTTATGTACATATAGCGGCCTGATCTCCAGATGGTAGGCTCAGTCCAATCCATCTCCACTGCTTTCTTCTGTCTGATTATTTTCTGATTCATACTTCCTTATTGGTGACTCTGTCTGTCCATCTGATCCTGAGGAACTTCCTCCGGGACTTGTTGATGACAACCTGGATCTTCCAGTACTTTGTGAAGAGTGCTTTAGAAAAGCCCAACCCTGCTGCACCACCAAACAATCCACAAGGGACGTGCAAGCCAAGGAGTTTCACATCTGTGGACATGCTTCCAAAGGTTCCCTCTCACTATTGCCAGCAAAGCTCTGGAAAACTCTATCTTGATCCCTGATTCTGTAATCTCGGAGCTTCATTGGTTTAAAAAAATAGCCTGCACAGGTCAGAAACAATCTGCCTTGTATGTCAGACTACTCAAATATGTGCTAGATGAAAACAACATGTCAATCTATGAGCTAAACAAAGATCAATGTGAATTGTGCCAGAGTCTGGAGTCTTAACAACGTCAGCAAGATTAAGTGAGAATCTCACATATCAGAAAAGAAAATATCAAATAAGGGCACACCATGGATAAAACCTTTGCTCTTAGGAAATAAGACCTTGTGATGATTTGCATGAATCTTTAGGGTGTACTTTTGGCACTGTCTATCAACTAATTCCTCCAGCTCTTGTTTCAAAAGCATGGACATTATCTTCAATACGACTTCGTACGATGTCATCTGCCTCGTATTACTTATTGCACAAGGTACAAGGTGGTTTGATTGCAAAGGAATTCACAACTTGTTTGAAGGACTTTTTTTCAAGGTGTACAAATGCATAGAAGGTTATGTAAATATACTATTATAAAGCTACGGGTGTGTGAGTGTGTGTGTGTGTGTGTATGTGTGTGTGTGTGTGTGTGTGTGTGTGTGTGTGTACGTGTGTGTAAGTGTGTGCGTGTGTGTGTGTGTGTGTTTGTGAGTGTTTATATGTCTGTGTGTGTGTGTGTACGTGTGTGTAAGTGTGTGCGTGTGTGTGTGTGTGTTTGTGAGTGTTTATGTGTCTGTGTGTGTGTGTGTACGTGTGTGTAAGTGTGTGCGTGTGTGTGTGTGTGTGTTTGTGAGTGTTTGTGTGTATGTGTCAGCACAAAATTGCATCTGTTTCTAACGCTGCGAGAGCCTTTTCCACTAAAGCAAAAACCGAAATTATATACCAAATCGTATGAGAGGCCGCACTCATACAAGTAGAAAGTATACACGGCGTCATTGAGCGCAGAGGTGGGTTTAAATAAAACGCACGAATATACAGCCCACTAGATTATGTTGCCATTTTCAGAACAGCAATTTTTATATAGATCTATATAGCAACGAAGACCCTATAAAGTGGAATTTCTGGATCATGTTTTCCTACATGATTTTGCCAAAATTGCAGTGCACAAAACTGTCAGTTCGGGTAGACAAAAGAAAAAGCCCAATCTGTTAATGCAATATGAAGCTTCTGATATACATAAGGAGAAATTCTTTGCAAACTGAACTCCAACAAAGAGTGGGAGAGTTTTCTTGAAAGACAAAAAGAGTAAGATAATGAAAGATGATCATTCAGTCTTTCAAGGGGTATAGAGGTTTGATACAAATCATATTCTCCCTTTCCTATGTAATAATACATACACTCTATACATTTGGTCTCTTCTTAAGGACAAGGGGGCTAACCCAGATTTTGGGGGTTTCCAGAAATCTTTACCTATCTCAAAAGTAGGCATTGCCCTACCTATAGGAGAAGTTTGGTTTCATTGGTGTGTATATTTGTCTGTTTATAGAGAAAACTCTTCTTGTCTTTTAAAGAAACAGAATAAGGGGCAAAAACTTTACCTTCAATCTTCTCAAAACATCGTTTTTCGGGATAGCCCCCTTGTGCTTTAATGTGACCCTTTATGAAATTTGTTGAATTTTATGGAAGGGTTTGTGGCGTCTGTGATTTAGCATTTAGCTTCGTCGTCTCATGCACCATGGAGGGGGGGGGGGAGGGGGGACTTTTTGTCCAAACGACAAAACCGTAGCTCTCCGAATATCCTTTAAAAAATTATGTTGAAATTAAAAGCATCTTAATTGAGATTAACTTTAGAAATAAATAAGAATTCGGCTGTCTCCTGAGCAGATGGTTTTTAGAAATAAACAACAAATAATATGTGTCACGACGTGGTGGAATCAGACGCTCGTCAGTTTTCGGGCTTGTGGAGTTATTGATATCATCTGAAAGCTTATTCATTTGTCTTGCATTCTATGAAAAAACATCCATCTAGCTTTAATAGAAGTCGAGATATTTGCGAATGAAGAACGTGGGGCAGCTTGGTTTCAGTTGTTAAATTAATGAGAAAATTGCCTCCAACGTTATATAACTTCAATAGCTTAAAGATTCCTTGAAAACTGAAAATTTACTTATTTTGTGCCTGTAAACAAGGTTTTTCAGTAAAATTCCTATAGAAATGTATTTTAATATGAACATAAAAGGTGTTTAGCCAAAATGCAAAATGTCGATAAAAATTGATAAAATTGATGGGAAAATGTCCTTTTCTTTGATTTCATTATTTGGAAGAGCACCTGATTTCCCCATGACGCCTCACATATTTACTTGCCCCAAGTCCTACAATTTACAAAACATGCCCTGAGGGGCACTGCTCCTGCTGAGTCAGCTTCTGAATGTCTGGGAAAACTGAGGATACTTTTAGACTTCCCATTAGCACGTAAGACGAGAACATTTTGCAATAATATGTCATTTGAAATGTCTCGGGGCTGAGCGTCATGTTTCAACCGTGTCCAGAGTGTGAGAATTGAGCTTTCACGCTTCTACGTACGTTACAAACAAATTTCTCAAGGTTTGCCTTATGAACATTTTGAATGTACGAGCCATTTTGATGTTGCTTTCCAGTCGAAACATCTGTAGAAGCTGTATATTATATATTTATATAATGATATATTTATATGATATAGTCAAACCTCGTTGTGCTGCCACCCTTGGGATAAAGTTGGCGGAACAGCGGGGCTGGCAATTCAACGAGGATATTATTATGTATATGTGAGACATCGTGGTGGAATCAGGCTCTCGTCTATTTTTGGGCATGTGGAGTTATTGGTATCATCTTAAAGCTTGTTCACCTGTCTTTATATGTATGAAAAATATATCCATTTATCTTGAATACAAATCGAGATACTTGCGAATGAAGGAGGTGGGGGTCACCTGTTTTCAGAGGTAAAATTAGTGAGAAAATGGCTGCCAAAGATAAGTAATTTCCATAGCTTAAGAGTCTGTGGTAACTGAAAATTGTCATTTTTAGTACCTTTAATCAATGTTTTTCAGAAAAATCCACACAGAAAAGAGTTCTTTAATGGGTATGAAAGGTGTTGAGCTAAAAAAACAAAAATTTGATTAAAAATTCAAAAACCTGTGGAAAAATGCAAGTTTCTTCACTTTGATTATTTTGACGAGAGCCTGATTCCACCACACTGCCTCACATATGTATTTTATATGTATATACATATACATTTATACAATATTTAGTTATTTTCTTTGTCACTTTCTTTATGCTTTTGTGTTATATGAATTCAACCAAAGGAATCTTTTATCTCCTTATAGCAACATTTCCTTTCCATCTTTTGTCCTCTTGGTGAGGCCATCTCGTGGGGAGTGAATATTACAAGTAAAATTAGCTTCTGGTTCAGCACAAATCGGTTCATTGGCTCCTGTTTTCTTGTACTTCTAGATCTCAGCACGGGTTTGGACACTGCGGCGCATGCGCAAATGCAACAGCTCGGCGGCGTACCTGGCAACGCTAGCCGTGTCGGACATTCTGTTCCTGCTTCTCAGCATTGGCAACGAGCTGCAGTATCCTTGGATGGTGGGAGCTTTAGACCTGCAGGTGAGAGTCGTGTTTTAGTAACGTTTTACGGCGTTCGCAACTGCACAAGGTCATGTGAGCACCAAAGGGTGGATGTCAACAGAGAAGTCCAAACGGGGAATCAGGCGTACTCTGCTCACCTTTTCTAGCCTCAACGGCGCAAAGTCTGCTTTGACTATCTAGGCACCCCGGAAATAGCAGTCCAAAAGAGAGTGACAAACATACAAAAGAAGTACAGGGAAAAAGGACGAGCGTAGGGATGAGGGCAGAAAAAGCAGAAGTTCCCCCTATGTTGTTCCGATACAGTATGAGCATGACATTGATAAATCAGCCCATTTACAAATATTCTACTGCGCATAAGAAGTTAATATCCCCCCTTTAGGAATGGCCTAAAGACAACTTCAATTAGTAGCACTGCCCTGGTGTGTGTGTATGTGTGTGGGGAGGGGGTGGGGGGGTGAGAGAGAAAAATCCTATACATATATTCAGTGACGTCGGTGGCCTAGTGGTTAGGCTACCGGACCAGTAATCGGGAGATTGCAGGTTCGGGGGTTCGAGCCTCAGCTCGGTCCGACGTTGTGTCCTTGGAAAAGACACTTCACTCGAATTTTCCACTTGGCTCGATCCTTTCGGAAAAGGACGTTAAAGTCGGAGGTCCAGCCTCCTAAATAACCTAACAGTGATGATAGGGGCTTAAACCTACACCATTTCACCGTTTATACATGATATCGCCATTGATGGGCGTCTGTAGTGTTGCGGTTGCCGCATTTGCTATGGCATGCGGGTGACCCAAATTTGATACATAATATACTCAAGTGGGGAGGATTCTTATCGACGATCTCGGGTCATTCTGCTGGGATTTTTCATCCCTCTCAGACCGGGTTGGCCCTGACAGGCAAGGTCGGAAGCATGTCTCCTAAATCATCGAATCTGTGTCGGTGGTGGCATAAATGGCTTACATTGAAAAGAAATAATTCCTAAAGCCATCAAGCCAGATGAGGCGGGGGGCGGAGGTGGTCATGGGAAAAAGGGGAGGGGGTGCGGGGGCAGGGGAGGGTAGATTGTGTGCGGTTTTGCCGTTGCGTTTTTTAAATTGTTGTTGTTGTTTGTGGTTTTATGTTGTTGTTTTTTAAAGAATCTAGTAAATTTGCAATGAGGTCTGCCCCAAAGTATGAACAATTTCGTCCGTGTAAATAGGCTACTAAGCACTCTATTCGCCACGTGCTTCACCTTGTTAGACTGATTGTTAAATTCGATTGCATAATCATTTATTATTGTTGGGTTTTCCTGTTGTTGTTTATTTTCGTGGGGGAAGGATGATTCTCCAACGTTACGGCGTGGGGGAAGGATGATTCTCCAACGTTACGGCGTGGGGGAAGGATGATTCTCCAACGTTACGGCGTGGGGGAAGGATGATTCTCCAACGTTACGGCGTGGGGGAAGGATGATTCTCCAACGTTACGGCGTGGGGGAAGCGGATAATTTCGATGTGTAATGTGTTGGGTGTTTCGTGCCTATTTCACATAGTGGTGACCTTAATTGGTCACTGTTAAGCACAAAGAGGCTATCCCGAAAAACGCTGTTTTTAGAAAATCGAAGGTAAAGTTATTGGACCCTTGTTCAGTTTCTTTAAAAAGACAAGGAGAGTTTTCTCTGTATCCAAACAAATATACAAACCAATGAAACCAAACTTCTCCTATAGGTAGGGCAATGTCCACTTTTGATGTAGATTAAGATTTCTGGAAACCCCCGAAATCTGGGTTATCCCGCTCGTCCCTAAAAGCGACCAATTCATCCACGACGCGTAATTTGGTCTTTCAACAACTGCTGAAGAAGCATATTAATAACTTCGTTGCTCGTATAGGATTTTCAGTTTTCTCTTTTCTTTGGAATTGTTGACCTCACTATAGTTGGTGTTGCCTCAAAAAAAAAGTTACTGAAAAAAAAAAAGAATCTAGCAGCGTTTGGGTGTTCAATCATGGTCTCACGGTTGGGGAGTGACAGATTGCCTACGCTAGGAATCAGCTGCCAAGTTAATAATGGGTCTTTGATGGCTCGCTCTTGAATTGACCAGCGTGCAAAGACAGGTTAGTCGAGGTGAAATAATGGGCCGCGGACATCAGGAGATCGATTATACACCGACAGATTTTCAAGAGGAGGTAATTCGGGTTTCCGAGGAAAATTTTATTTGTAGTCAAACTATGGTAGAATTGCGGAGCAGTTTCAGACAAAGTGACCAACGTCGTCTTGCCAACACGCCGTCTGGTGGACCAGCAATGTTGTCGTCATCGTTGAGCAAAAAGAAAATTGGAACCAAGCAATCAGAAATCAAATTTCCAGGCAACTTTTTGTCTATGTCCTCTCAACTTTAACCGTATTGCCGTGCCAAAGACGTTGGAGAGAGGCGGTTACGTTCGCAGAACACAATAATCATAATGCCAGAGCGATGAGATTATAGTTGACGCATGACAGATCCCCAAGGACACATGAGAGTAAACAGAGTTGTTTTCTGCCAACAGCTCTTTCCGAAAGAGGTGTTTTCAGTCTGCTGAGTGATCAAAATATTCAGTTCCAAGGCTCTTTTTTTAACATTCGTTCCTCTGATATTGTGTATAATATTATACTTTCCTTCTATTCTATTTTGCAGTGGCTACCTTTTCTTTTTTCGAGAAAATGGAAGGTAATGAAGCGGTAGGGGGACAACGTAATATCACAAAAATGAATGAATTAAACTACAACAAACGTTTTCAAACAAACAACGTAATTGATCTGTAAGGCATAAGATAATGAAGCGTTGTACGTGACGCTGAAATGTCCGAACCTCCATCAGACAGTATAAACCGTCCAGGTGTAGAATACAAGGTGGTAGGGATAATGAATTCGGTTATCTATGTTATTTTTTATATTTGTGAAAGTCCTTCACTTTGGTCGCCTAAAACTTCCGAACGACTTAACTTCTGAATTTGAAAAGATTAACGGTGGTTCAGAATCATTTAAAGGGTGCACAGTACTGTTATATTAAGGAGTTTGAAGTCAATGTAGTTTTTTCATTAGTTTCGTTTAGAACTAATCTATGGAAAGTCCGTCTTCTAAGACGCCATTGTAAACAAGTGAGGCTTCCGTTCACAAGCAGTACTCCCCGATTCCACAATAACTTGACGATCGATTCCTTTGAGTCCGTTCTTCGAACGGGGAACCCAGCTAGTTACGAATACTCTTGTTGATATTTTGAATATGCCCCACTTCGTCTGTCAAGTCATCTACCAACACACAACCTTTTAGCATACGTATACCTGTTGAAGAGCCACTAGTATGGGATAGAGCGCTATAGAAATGCAATATATTATTATTATTATTATTATTATTATTATTATTATTATTA